TGCTTTAGGGAGAATAAATGGTAGTATTTATTGGAGCAAGGATTCTCTCTCTTTTTCAGTGAACAAATGTAATACCGCCGGACTACAGAAATCTATGAATGAGTTAATTTTTAATCTGCGATCGAAGTCATCATATTACGCATTCCACGAGGTCATTGGGAGCACCGACGCAGATTTAAACAGTTGTTAGTGAGAACACTGCAACTAAACAAAACATAGCAATGGAGCAGTGGCAGATTGACACGATGTGTTACCCGACTGGAGGGAGATGCGCAAAATGAGATGCAAACAGAAAGCAAGGCCGCTCAGATGTATCACGGACTGTAGATATGATGATGCATCCTCAGGTTTATACATTGCTTAGTCTCCTAAGCAGATTTATAAAAAAAATTGCGTATTTGTTTGAAGAATGAAATGTTAAGCTAATATTTCCTAATCTGTTGCGGGGAAATAAAACAGGGTCGCGGAAAAAATCTGCATATTTGTTTGACGAGTGACATAATTAGCTAGTATATCCACCATGGTTTGAACTACCCGAAGAACCTTTATTGATGAATGTGACCTCGTGACTCTGACCGAATCTGCTGGGGTGCCAACCAGCTGACGCATTATTCACTTTCAACGGACAGCATTCTCATTAGGTTTAAATAATTTTTCGTTAGAAATTATTCAAAATTTCTGTCACATGTTTTTAGTTGTATTCATGAGGATATAAAATTGTATATTTTTTGTCAGATTTAGAAGAACGATGCAGTATTAGGAATAATAAAGAGTGTTCTTTTGAACTAGCAAGAATCGTTCACCAATACGTCATAGAGCACTTAAGGCAGAGCTGCACTACCGTACGAATAATGCATACGTATACATATGTTCGTGTCAGGCTCTTTCAGTGGTTGTGCTCGAGTGTGTTCTCAGATGAACCGTTTCTTTTCACACGTTCAATTTGAAGCAATATTATTCTCAATTTCTTAAGACACATTTAATTCAAAGTAATCTGATTCATAATTTCTTATCGCACATTGAATTTACAAGAATCTTATTTTTAATTTCTTATCACATATTGAATTTAAATGAATTTTATTCTTAATTTTTAATCGGACTTTGAATTGAAGCAGGCTGCAATGGCTCAGCGCAACAACTGTTGCTTCCGCAGTGTCTCTTACCGAGAAGTTCTAGTGATCATAACTTGTGGGTAGCCGATTACCAACAAAACCACGTGAACACTGTCTAACATAACAGTTGCGATCTTCTAACAAGGGGAAGGTGTATTCATTTGACAGATATACTAGATCCCAAACGGTGAGCAAGAGGCCGTCTTCAGTCTGTAGAGCACAACGGTTGAAGCGTAACATTTACTTCGAAATTTTATACAAATGAACCGGATGAAATAAATTAATTGAGACATGTTGCTTTTTTAACATTGGATGATTTAATATCTACTAAAGAATAATTTTATGTATATTTTACAGATCAGTAGTCAGCTCCCTAAGTCCCTGAATGTTAATAATTTAAGTATATTTCCTTTACTTTCCGATATTTCATTATTTTGAAATTTGAGAATTAAATACAGTCTCAGTCTAACAAATAGTTTTGAAATTACTGTATTTTTATTCCCTCAGAACATTCAACTAAGAATTCTGGCGCACTCGTCAGAAGCCGCACCAATGATTCTCCACACTTCATTTCATTTGTATATTCTTGAAATTTCCAACAATCAAAGGCATTTTCACGAAGAGTTCATAAACAAACTCGCACGCACAAGATCACGCAAGACCTGTTATCAGTTACTTGCTGGCCGCTTGGACTTCTAATGTCGCAGCGGATGAAGAAAATTGATGGAGTGTTACGACTGTTATATTCGACTGTAATATATACGTAGTTAGACTAAATAATAACTTTCATGGTGTGTGTTCACGATTTAGAAAAAAAAAAAGATTCTGGCTTGAGATTTATATTTAGCGCGTCGACATACATAGAGAAACAAGTGTCAAGTCTTTAGGCCTGACAGCTTTTTTATTTCGTGTGCCTGTGTCACCTGTCTGGAGCAGAATTCTATCGGTTCTAATCTACAGTTTGCCAATCAACGTCAAGGCAATTCTGAAGCAGTACCCACCATAACAAACGGGTCTCGGTCCGCGCCAGATATTTCCTCTTCCTTGTTGCTCTCTATTAGAGTCCTCCTCGAGAGCCGCAGCAGTTCACAAAACATCCGCTAGATGTCAGAGCAGTAGGATAGAGTTTCGCTCGCCGCGACACCCAGACCAACATTCTTAAGACCTTCAAACCCTGGTGTCTGCGTGATTGATCGTGTCCTAGGGATGTGAGCGTGGGAGCGTTCACTGGCAGTGAAGCCCAGTGGTTAAACACGTCTTCAGGCTGCAGAGGCCATCTCTAGTGTGGAGGATCACTCAAGCTGAAACGGAGGTGGCTTTGTTGCACCTAGCGAGTGGAGCGCAGGTCTTCACGTGGAGCAGAGCAACAAATGTGCAAAGTTCTCGTGAACTGTCTCTGAGTTAAAGTTTAAGACTTGGAAGTCTGCAAGAAGGTTTTGAGCAAAGTTGAGCGAGTATTGTATGAGCAAGGGTTTAAAAGTTAAGGTCGTTGAAAATTCTAACCATTTACAAAGTGCAATTTTGACTGAACAATTGAAGTAATGCTTGTTTGTTAAAGGTATTAAGTATTAGGTATTGTAATGGCTTAAAGGCCTTCCGCCTAGCCACATATGATTAAGTAAGCTAATTTATTTGTAGTAATTACCTACTACATAAAAAAATAATAAAGGTATTAAATTTATTGTATGTGAGCATTTGAAGCTCAAACATTGGTATTTTGCTGCTTAGTATATGATTATTTATTTTGATTAAAGAGTTCCTCAATGATAGACGCTCTGTCATTTATTGGTACAAGGTCAAAGTATGGCTTGTTTTACGTCTGCTTTCATGATCCTAGGGCGAAATAATATCTTTATTCAGCGTCCTGTACAAAGATGTAATGATGGTCAAATGTGTATCTATGAATGTTTATATATGCTGAACTTCTATGAACTTGTAACGAGACTTCGCCTGACATTTTTACGAATATTGTATGCATTTGTATGTGTGAAGAGCTTCGATCTATTTATGAATTAATTTGAAAATTTATTATTAGCAAGCCCCTTTTTTATTGGCTCACTTTGAAGGGGCAAATCCTGTGGTATCGAAACGAAGTAACTTTACTTGTATAATTCTTCTTTGCAAAGTTCCTTGATGCTAGGAGTTTATATATTGTCCCCGACCAATCCTTTTGCCAGCACGAGCCATTTGATTAAGTTGAATTTAATTCAAATTTCCTACCTTATTATATTACATATAAGTAATATTTAAGGATTTAAGGATAGGATTCAACGTAGTCGCAATTAAACTTGCGGCTGGCGACCGTCAAAAACTTGTTAAATTGTTTCTTAAATTGTTTTTCCGCCACTAAGAACCATAACAGCCATGGACATTGCCGGGGCCTGCGAGTCAGCCCTCCGCGAGTGAGGCTGAAATGCTCGAGTGAGTACGAGCGAGCAGATTTCTACCTTCTATCCTCTCCCCTTTACAAACACACACACACAGCCCCATACGTCGGACGACGTGTCGCTTAGAGCTTAGAGCTTGTCGTTGTCGGGGCAGTGCTCTGTTGGCGTGGACACCACAAGGGGGACATGTATGGCGGCGCCGGACCTCACCATTCAGGCTAAAGAAACACCACCCCTTCCCGGGTCGAAACATTCACTGCACTAACGGGATTAAAGATAATGTTAATAGTTGACGCGTCCAGAAACACAAAATAACCATTCGATCAGTACAGATGGAAGCTTTTAGCAATTGCTAAAACTGCGAAATGTTACCAACCGCTGAAAGAAACCCAGTAATTGTATTTTAACCAGTAATTGTTGTTTGACGGTCGATGAGTATATTTCTGAAGGTTTTAAATCTTCGAAAAAATGCGAAATTGAATGCAAACTGCAAAATCACCTACAAAGTTCGAAATGGGATGTACTTGCTAAATTACATTTTATGGTTTCCTTCGTGTTCGCTCTCTAAATCAGGGATGCTACATCGACAACAACACTTCGATGTTTGAAAGCATTTAATTCGAGTGTTTATTCATTTACGATATTGATATTTAACTGAGCAAAGAAAGTGAAAAGTAACTGGAGCAATTGTAAAGGCGACCCTAAAGCCTGAGCGCCCAGGGCCGTCTCGAGGGGCTGTGGAAGAGGAAGGCCCCACCTACGGGGCCTACGGCGCAAGCGCCACTCCCTACGCCTCCTTCGCTTTTGTTTTTTTGAAGCCCACAAAGGGAGAAATATTCAATTAGTTTCCCTTATTTCCTGATTTTATTTTGGGAGTTCTCGGTGACACCTGCAGGTGACACGTCTTTGATCTTTTTCTATAAATTGTCCTTTACGAAATTGAATAATTTGATGTCACGAAACTCGTCGTGTTTCGTCCTTTCTTGAACGTTTTGAAATGGAAATTTGGCACCACTGCTACTAGAAAATTGTTGTTTTAATTTATTCAACATGTTCGGGTTCTTGACCAAACTCAGAGAATATTACAAACCAAGTATTGACGTTTGATCATTGGGAATGTATCTAGTAAATGTTTCGTTCGATTGTGTACATTCAAATTGCATTTTATATTACATTATAGTTCAAAGTTTTAATTTCTTTTATTATTAATATTTTTCTCATGGAATATTATTTAAAATTAAGTGCATCATAATTTCACTTTGATCCTATTTGACTAGCCTAGCTCCCTCGCAGGCGTAGCGACTAGTAACCAAAGCCACCTGCTAGGGTGGGGTAAGGGAGCTGTGGCCTTGGCTAAATCCTGCATGTCAACTGCTACTGCGTGAACGTAAAAGTTCAATTTATAAAAGTTACCGTAAGTGGTAGAAAAGGTACCGTATGAAACTCGATGTAATGGGTATTAATACACCCGCTTAAAGTTCCAATACTCGCTCATCTCGTAAAATTACACTCGTGTATTAATACCGTTCATTACATCATCATTTCATAATGTACTATTTCGGACGCCTTGTGGATTCATCACCATTACTGTATCCGACAACGAGCAGAAATGCGTACATCCTGAGGTAGTCGAAGACAAAAGAAGTGTCTCGGGCAGGTTTTATTTGTGCAACGTCCGTGAGTCCGTCAGGCGTGGAGCCGGCGCGAGTGCCATCTGGCCATCTGGCGCTCGTACGCCAGCGCCAAGGCAGCCGTCACGTGGTAGTGGCTGTAGGCGACCACCACGCTGTAGCCCTGCAGCACTGCCAACATCATGCATCAAAAGAATTCTCGCTTTGCCCACATACCGATTTGAACAAATATGGCTTTCACGAAAGAGAAAATAAGTGGCGGTAAAACCGCACGTACTTTCTTGCCCGTTTTCATGTAAAATGACGCGAATATAACTCAAATTTTCGAAAAATTGTATAAGACCTCACTTCAAAGTCACACATTGATAAATGTTCCTCGATCCTTGGAAAAAGTGGTCGCCTTATAGGGGAATTGTAGACGAATCGATAGTCATTGGTCGGGAACAGGGGTGGTCGGCAGAAAGAGGATTTAAATAATTTGATCTTACAGGAAAAACATTCCGACCCCAAAAAAAGTGGTCGTGCAGAGAGGTGGTCGTGAAGAGGGGTGTCACTGTGTTTATTGCGTAATTGTGCGAGAAACATCAGCGCTTTTAAAACCATTTTAAACATTTCTCAAAACCGATACAATTTTTTTCTTTAATATTTTTTGTATATAGAAAAATATGGTAAATAAAATGAAGCTGGTGTCATTTTCTCACTACTCTCTGTATTTTCTTCATTTGCATATAAAAATTGAATATTGCACAAATACAGTATTGATAATAGAGATGATTTTGTTGCATGAAATCTGTTCTAAAAACAGTTCTTCAAATCATGTCATATACAATTGTTTTAAAAAATATGAATTGTTTTATAATCTTTGAAATTGAATTTTTGAATTTCCCGAGTTTAGTGTGACGAGCTGTCAGTGTCAGTGTGAAATTCTTCTGAATTCTTCTCTTCGGTGGACTGACACAGAACCATATTCATTACTATTTTTTGAATTTATATATTATTTTTTGTGCCAAAAACAGTTAAAAACTGTGTGTGACATACAATGGGGAGAAATGTATTCTGTGAACGTTTTGTTAAACTCTGGTATCCCTAACCTAATATGTTGGGTTCTGAATAAAGATGGATACGATGGTTCGATTCTTCGATTAGTAATGAAAATCTGGAGACATTTTCTTAGATGTGAAAACGTGTGGAGAGAATTTAGCATTACATGTCAGTCAAAGAATAATTCGAGCAGAGTAATTAGTATTAAAACGAGCATTTTTGAGGAACATTACAATCTTGTAGTATTTAATAATTACCATTACATATTTTTCTATCTATTTGTATTTATTTGCCAACACTATCAGTGTTACTGCGTTGTGAAATGTAC